GCTTCACACATTGTACCCATGTCGGGAATCGAACCCGGGTCCTCGGCGTGACGAGCCAACGCTTTAACCACTGGGCTACCCGACCGACCCGTCAAGAAAGGGAATTTGTTGTTACCATGCCTGACACTCGCCATTAAGAGCTAGAACAAGAACTGCTCTGCTCGAAGTCAGCGTACTGTGTCTGAGTGGGATATTCATGTTAAAACTGTAACATGTGAGCTAGAAGCCCCACACATACACACACACATATACACGCACGCACGAACGCACGCACGCACGCACGCACGCACGTTTATAAATAAGTACAAGATACTGAACGTGACGTTAAACCCCATTGTACCACGACACCTCTCACTCACCATACTCTCCCTTCCAATCCGATACCTTTTCGCCCACCCCTACGTTTCCCCTTAGAGGGTAGACATTACCCGGGTAACTCTATCCCATGGAAAGTCGCCCCGAGTTGCCTTAGTATACTCAACGCATTTATTTACGGGGCAGCCCGTCAAAGGCCGGAATATATTGAGGGTGAGAGGAACTGTAGGGAAAACCCTTAAGTGGTAGTCATTGTTTTGGCATTGTGAAAGCACGGCTAGACGAGTAGGAGAGCTTAAGGGATTTCCTTTTGCTTTCTGGTAAAGGAACATAGAAAAGCACTGTATAAATACAATCTTAGGTAATCACCAGCAGTATAATGGGTACCCGGTAGGATGAGATGGGAACGTGACTAGTTACCTACTAGCACCTGACAAGGCAGCTTAGGTTGTATACTCCCCGGGAGCTAAGAGTGACAATAGAGTGCACATGCACTGATCCTTCGACCGGGGTAATAAATTAATGTTTAAGTATCGCTTTGGACATGCACCGAGTGTATGGAGGCTGTCTATGTGGCGCAATGTAAATGCACACATTATAATTATACAGTCCGAATGAACAGTAAGAAAACAAAGAAATAACGCAACCATTTGTCATCCTTCGAACGGGCAGAACATGATCTCACAGGTGTGCTGTAACAAATCCGACAAGTTAGGATTAACCTACATTCTTCTACTTCTTCTGCTTCTCCTTCTTCTTCTGCTTCTGCTGCTTCTTATTCCCTCCTCCTTCTCCTTCTACGTCTTCTACTTCTGCTTCTTCTTCTTCTCCCCTCCTTCTTCTCCTTCTGCTTCTTCTCCTCCCCTCCTCCCCCTCATTCTTCTCCTTCTGTTTCTTCCCCTCCTCCTCCCCTCCTTCTTCTTCTCCTTCTGCTTCTTCTCCTCCCCTCCTTCTTCTTCTCCTTCTCCTCCCCTCCCTCCTCCCCCCTCCTTCTTCTCCTTCTGCTTCTTCTCCTCCCCTCCTCCTCCCCCTCCTCTTTCTTCTCCTTCTGCTTCTTCTCCTCCCCTTCCACCTCTCCCCTCCTTCTTCTGCTCCTTATTCTTCTTCTTCTACCGCACTTATCCAGGTATATTAGTATCTGCTCAAATGCGGATTATTTGCTCCCCGACCAGTGGATCCGTTTGCATTCCAGTTATCATTCTCAACTCCCTGGGGAGTATACAACTCAAGCTGCCTACAGACGGTCGAGGTATTTCTTTTATTCCACCTCACATATCAGGTACCCATTCCCTGCTGAACTTTTGAACATTTGAACTAAGTCGCTTGCCCAGTGTGACACCACACGTTTTGACACCCGTGTTTCGGGTGTATGAACGTATTCGTGTTTCTACCATCGTACGAGTGGGTTCTTTTGAGGGCACAGGGTGAATTTACTTTGCACTAGGGGTAGTAAGAACGCTGTAAAGACATGAAAACGTTGTTGGTCCACTGGCTGCATAGAAAAACGGCCACCAGCGTAAAATGATCTCAGCACATGTGTACACGTTGCGATCATTTATTTGTATCGAATATCGAAACTGTGTGCCCCGATCCGCTGTCATTGCAAGTTTACCGTAGAAAATTGACTTAAAAAATTACGAATAATTAAAATTAATTAATATCAAAAACGGAGTATTATCCTACGATGTTTTAATCGGAGTTGAATTTATCATACTTTTTAATTCAAACATTGTTCAACATTTGAGAATGATTGATGCAGTGCAAGGTCATAGGTCATAGGTCATTAAGCAGTTTTTCCAATGCGTTTGTGACCTTCAGAGAGTGGGTGACTCAAACAGCATTCGTCTTTAACGTTTTGTTAACTATTCGATTTTTCGAATTATTATTACACGTTCCTTTGTAGAACAGACCGCCTCCGTGGTCTAGTGGTAGATCGTCCGCCCGGAGGGCGGAAGGTCTCGGGCTCGATCCCCGGCCGCGTCATACAAATAGACGTTAAAAGATGTTACTTGTTGCTACCCTGCCTGGCGTTCGACATAAAGAAGCTAAAACAAGGAGCGGTCGGCTAAGAGTCAATATAATGTGTCTGAGTGGGGTATGCATGTTAAACTACGGCATGGTATCTCAGTGAGCTACCACTATAAAATCGGCATTAGTCCGAACTCGTACAAACAGTCACAAGTACATGCATGTTGCTATATAAGTGCAATAATGTTGAACTCCATTTCATCTCAAATCACCTTTGTAGAATACCAACACGGTCGGCGTGTTTGGAAAATTGTTTACCGATTCTCGGGGAAAAGGAAGAGATCTGTTTACAAAGGCGCTCTGCTTACCTGGTGGGCAAACACGAGTCACACCGCCCCCACTCTTTCTCATCAGTGAAAGACCGGGGGTTAGTTTCGCTTTCTGCATATTCACTGATCGGTGAGGTTACCTTAATGTTAGCATTTTCTGCATGATAAGCGCTAATTCCGTATGACCCAAGTCACGTAATAGCCATACGCCAAGTAATTCAATCTTAGAGACAATTGTTGCACTTTGACGTAGTAATAAGGGGCAGGAACAATATCCTTGTTGTACACCACTCCTCGATTATTTCGATCTTTGCTGTAATGTCTTTATGTTGCAACACAATATAACGTTTTAGGTATTTTTCATAATTTGTTTTAGTCAGCTGTAAAATGCAGTTATTTGTGCAAAAACAAATTACATGTACTTTAAACAGTTTCTAATTACAGTGTTTCGTTGCAGTGTGTTACAACTTCAGTATTATAGCTTACACTGCCTCCTGTATAAGAATTTGATATCAGGATCCGTTGATCTTGAGTTTGAATCCCCAAATTACATCTCTTTTGTTTACAAGTGCCCATGTGTTTCACAAAACTAGTAAACGTGGGCTTTTCTCTCACAAGCGGCTGACACGCCGAGATATAACTGAAATACTTTGCCCTGGGTTAATTTTGGGTTTTACTGATAGCATTAACTTTGTAGAGCGTACCGAATCTGTATGGTTGTCATCATGACGATAATACGCCTGTTAATGCGCTATTTCTTGTTCAGATACGTTACCGTCACGTGCCAAGTAGCAGCTTCGCAAAGGCGTCATAGGCCATCCCCTATCAACCTCCCATCCCTGCAGCGTACGTGCACCCCATGTTGTTGACTTGCGACATCTTGATATCGCGTTTTGAGAAAGTTATAATTTGAACAATATGTAAGATGGGAAGGTTTGGGTAGGTGAGGAAGGAAGCGCGGAGCACATCCACACTCTTATCCCTGCACACAGAAACACGTGCACGTGCACATGCACATTCACCTGGAACAACAACAAATTACATATATATTTATATATAGTTTCCTTCAAAGTCAGATTCGCTGTGTGAATGTATCACTCATGAGCGATTACAGCTTCAACCTTATGATCGTGCACGCATGCGTATATGTGTCATCACGCTGTCATTTCCCCCTAGCCCTAGCTACATGAAGCAAAGTGACAATTTCCCTGGGCCCCGCGTAGTAGTGATAGATGGTATGGTAAACAACTTTAATATTGTTAAAAGCTGGTAAAACAGTTCTCGGCCCATATCATTAGTTAGTCAGTGAGTGAGTATGGTTTTGCGCCGCTTTTAGCAATAGTCCAGCAATAACAGGGCGGGGGACACCAGAAATGGGCTTCACGTATTGCACCCATGTCGGGAATCGAACCCGGGTCTTCGGCTAGACGAGCTAACGCTTTAACCACTAGGCTACCCAACCATCCCGCTTTTCTATAAGTAAATAGTGTATCAATAATAATCGTAGTTGCTATAGTAACCGGAGCAGCATCAGTAGATACGCATCCTGTAAAGGATAAAACACTTTAAACACATACAATGGTGATGAATGCTAACAAATGTCGCCGAAACAGGCTTAGATAGTCATGTTTGACAAATAGCTTTTACAGCAAACATGTATGTATTAATTGCGTGTTCTTTTATTCCATTACTGACGCAACATTACATCGTAATTCTCTTCCTCACTCACAGACGGTAATTACACAAGACAACCACACCATGTACCATAAAGTCAATTTTCATTTCGTTCATACCAACAAAACTGTTCGAATCACGTCATTTAATGACCAATGTACATCCTTAAATTATTGCAGAACACATGACGAAAGGAGGAGGGAAATGAACGAATATTCCTATATAGCTCAGCGACAATCCCCGGCATGTATATATATCATATGAGAAAGGACTCGCATACAGGTTTCAAAATACCCCGTTTTCATATCCTATTGGATATTAGCCCACCCATGGCACACCTGTCTGAGGTCATGGAAAGTCCGTATTTGCGGACCCGTGAAATGAAACAAGGCGACTTGACTGATGTCGTTTGAACGGTGCGAACACACGGATTTATATTTCCAAGGGAGATAACCGAAAACGGAGTCACGTGTTCCCCTATGTCCTGTTCATAAACTTACAACGCCACAATGGCCACGCCTTCGCGTGCTGAACATCACTGATTGGTACCGAAGAAGGTCAGAGGTGAACCCTAATAATATCAAGAAAAACCCAAATGTAATTCGGAAAGTTTCAGGTTTACACAATTTCCAAAAATATCTTTCGCAAACTGTGTTCCGCTTTGAACACATAAATAGTCCATCTACAGAGTTGTAATTCATAACTTGTCTGCCTTCGTCTGAACTTACAACTTCAGAATAGTCTTCTTAGGAACCCATTGCTGATTTGATAACTGATTCTATTTTACTTGAACGTTCTCCTCTGCCAACATGGATCAGTTGAAATTTTTACTTTCCCTAGCTACAGGTTGGTTAAAAGTTACTTTTTAGCAAATTAATTCCAGATTATTATTTCTATTTATTTTTATATTTCTATTTATTTTTTATATATTTACTTTTTTTAATTATTATTAGTAGTAGTATTATTATTATTATTATTATTATTATTATTATTATTATTATTATTATAATTATTATTATCATTTTAATTAATCTACGCTATTTCTGTATACACGGATTGTTTATTAATCACGTTGTTTTAATTGGCATATTCTTTCAAAATATTGATGATTAATCTTTTAAGACATAAATCAAGCAAATAAGAAATGTAACATTTCATTCGTTATACATATTCATCGCAGTTGTCAACAGCCTCACGTACGTCAAGGTTGATCTGACATCTTTGTGGCAATGAGGTCGATGGAGTAGTCTCCCTTTAAACGACAATACCTCTACGAAAATATTGTTTGCTATGGTTATACCTGAATTTAACCGAGTTGATATTTCTAACCAGCGTTGTTTGATTTTCAGCTGTGCTATTCTCCTCACAACTTATATCGACAGCTTTCGCCGCTCCATTGCCGCAAGGAGACGGTCGTTGGGTAAACCCGTGTGGCGGTAGTACGCCCGTCTCAGGCTTATCATTAAATCTTCCCACACCTCCGCCAAAACCAATCAATATGGAACTGACCTCACTGAAACTGATGGCTCAAACGGCAACCAGCCTCAGCGACGAGATGACCTATACTATAGTAAGTGTTACACATATAATATTTTGACTTGAATAACTACATTAATACAAGAATACTTGTAACTATGTAACTTCGGCATAAAAAATAAAAGTTTACGGGCACATGTTTCTCTAAAGTGAGGAGGGCTGAAGCACTTAACTCACCAAAGTGATAAACGTCTAAGACCTGCATCACTTCGGACTTTCCGCTCATATCAAGCTGACCCGCCATGCTATAAATGAACTAATGTTAAAAGCAACATAAAAGTGGGCTACTCTGCCTTACTCTGTGGATTTGATCTGACATCAGTCTCGTGAAAAAATATTTGACCGTCGAACCGTGTCACTCGTTTTCGAGGGCATGTAACTCTTCTGGTGAACGGAGAACACTTTGATCATTCCTAATTTATTAAGTGTAGTTTGTGTTACTTTGTAGAAACCCCGAATTGGATCCTCAATATGCTCAGAGCTCGATGGGCATGACCCCCTTCCGGGGTTCCCCGATACAGGAGCGTCCTATACTGCTGGGATCAAGGTATGTAGTCGACATTTGGACGGGCATATTATACACGTATACACATATGTACTCTTTAGCTAGGACGAACTCGATCATCGTGTGACACAGCCCGTCATCCTGGTGTTATATATAGCGATGAGAAAGAATGAGAAATATAGCCTGTCACAGAAATTCCACTTTTCGTCATTCGAAATATAAATGATTCAAGAACGATAGAATGACAATTCACTGATCAAAATCGGATGTAACCCTTACCGCCAAAACGAGAATATGAACCTTTGTAATCCACTGAAACTGTTTATCCGAACGGTACGTACCATATCAAAGAAATTGTCCGTTTATTCAAATATCCAGATTAAGGAGTTTTGGCTTCAATATTATTATGACGAGGGAAGGTAACTTTGAACACAACTGTACGTAGACATACCCAAAACCTGTGTCCGGAAAAGGGAGTGTTTGGGCAATCGAGGTTCGACTGAACGAGGTTTCATATAAGGAATCAAGAATTCAATTTCCCCGATGTTTTTTTTCGCAAAGACTATACATAATAACGTAAACATTCACAGTTTTATTTGATTGGTTACAGGCTGAGGACATGCTCTTGAGAGAAGTTAAACGCTTGTCAATGATTGGGGTTTTCCTGGAGCAAGCAAGTATGGATACATACGACTATACGGACAAAATCGAACAACTTGAAAACAAGTACGTCGAAATGCTGTGTAAACTTCACATCATCTTGAAAGGCCTGAAGCAGGAAGTGACGACAGTCGTGTCACGTGACATCATGTCGAGCAAATACAGGAATCTTGATCAAATCGCTCAAATCGACATGAGGAACTACCTAATCATCAGAGACGCACAACGAATCTTTGTCGCCATAGCTGAAGGAGTGGATAGTTACCTGGCGAACAACAATTTGTAACTCTGCCCAAGCCCTTAATTTATTCATGCCATTGTTAAATTATTTTTTATGTATTTATATTCTTAATTTATTGAGGTATCCATGTACTTAATTTATTGAACCCATTCCATTCCATTTAACCCTCCACATGAATTTGCATAATCTGTGTTATTTGTCCTATGTTGAGACATGCCATTCAACATACAGAAAACTACGGATATATCGAACTCAAAGGGAGCTCTAATTCTAGTTCGTTATAACGGTAATTCGTAACAAACATGTATACAGTATATATACAGCAATTTGCCGAGACCATAAACAACAGTTCGTTATATCCGTCAGTTCGTTATAAACATAGTTTACTGTCTTGTGATCTTCAACTGTATCCACTGCCGTCCAGTATTGTTGTCCATCACGTTTACCTACTTGATGACGCATCCTGAATGTATTCATGCGAGTGAACACATTCGATTCATTCGTTCATGAACACGTTGCCATGACTTGATATTGTAAATATCAGAATATTGTATATGGAATCAAAACAATTGTTTCATGTCCCTCTCAAAACATCCAAATGGGGCCGAGCCTATATCATAAATTCATATTTATATTTTTGTTAAAAGGACGTTAATCAACCATCACATCAAACGCTTTGTTATAAAATGTTTTATCACTAGTATAATTAATGAGTGGGCGGTCGATGGCCTTGTGGCTAAAGCGTTTGCTCGTCACGGCGAAGACTCGTTTCGATTCCCGACATGGGTACAATGTGTGAAACCCATTTCTGGTGTCCCCTGCCGTGATATTGCTGGAATATTGCTAAAAGCGACGTAATACCACACTCACTCACTCACCCACTCACTCACTCACTCACTATCATTACTGATATGGATATGGATTTTGTCTCGAGATTAGATATATGTTTCAGCTACAGCTGGAAAATAGATATTTTTATATATTTAAGAACGTGTAATCAGTTCCAAGTGTGTACACATCAGTATCTACATTTCCATTGAATCATTACGTGTTTTTCCTGATGAAATGTTATACAAATATTTACATGTCATAATTGGTTGTAAATGTATTTCAAACATGTATTATTTATATATTTATACGTGAGAAAGTAATTTATTTCTTATGTGGAGCATGTGTGAGGAAGTAATTTATTTTAAAGTGATGTATGTATGCGTGTACGCTGGATATGCTTGCTCCATTGAAAACATCATATTGCACTCGAGCAATGGTCTCGTGTGAAATTATTTATATTTATTGAATTCATCATTTACTTGTCATTTGCCACTTAGATCTGACCATTTGTGTTCATTCTTCGAGAACGATTCCTGCAGGTGCTACGTTTCCAATACCTACCATCGTTCCGCAGAGTAACCATATTCCAGGTGTGCATTTGTATCAGATTGAAAAGCGGGTCTTTTCCTACCTTGTACTGTTTATTGTTTATTGATTACGTATTTGTTTGTGAATTACATCGAAATCTCAGAAGTATTTATTTTTATGAATAAAAAATTAAACATGAAATAAAATGATTTTCTTTTATTTGTGCTTCTAACGGAAACAAGGACCCGTGAAAAGGCACTGGAGTATAATTGATAATAGTTCAACTAGGTTCCAGAACATCGCGATCGGAACTACATTTGAACCACAATTGATTCTCGCAATACAAACTTACTAGTGTAACATACTTGTAATTTTAATCGGACACATTGGATGAATGAATCTTGTTTTAGGTCAGAGTCAGCAATATTAAAGCGACGTTTTATATCACTACAGATTCTAATGGTACAACAAATATTCGCATGTCATGTTCCTTATTTGGAACACCGATGGCACATGTGACATTTCCTGCTCAAGTGGGTTTTCCCCACATTCTATTTATAGCACACGCGCTTGACACTCACGTTCCGCCACCATTGCCATGTGATAGCTGACGCCATACGTACTGATATATTAATTTCTAAAAAAGGGTACGTTTTTAAGACTTTGATTCATGTCGAAAATGGTCCAGATACAAAATGTTGTTTTACATTGTAAAAGCCGCTTTAAATTACTGACCAGTCTCTCTGCAAGTCGCGATTAGTAGTATTTTTCATATATTTCAGTAACAAATCTAATTGTCTTTTCGTTTGAAACAATAAAGCAAACATTTGTAGAATGGGCTATTGACTCAGATATCGGCACAAAAGTTTAACTTCTTGTTTCGCGTACGCTCTAATCGATGCAACGACCTGGACGTGGAGCATTCGTTACCACTCGTATCTTTCCGTCCCAATTCGGTTTGTCCCGGAAAGACATTGAGGGGAGGGGTAGCACGGTCGGCCTCATCGCCGCCGGTATTCGTATCAGATACGTATATATATGCTCTTATTCCCCCATAGGAGAGTACAAAACATGTTATAAGTTAACAGGGAAAAGGAGAGGTTTGTGGATCAAGAGGCACTTTAGAAGTTGCAGGGGCGGTCGGGTAGCCTAGTGGTTAAAGCGTTCGCTCGTCACGCCGAAGACCCGAGTTCGAATCCCGACATGGGCACAATGTGTGAAGCCCTTTTCTTGTGCCCCCCGCCGTGATATTGCTGGAATATTGCTAAAAGCGGCGTAAAACCAAACTCACTCACTCACTCACTCACTCATTTATGTGACCTCTGGGGTCGTGGCAATGTTCAAGAATGGAAGAAAATAAATAAGTGGAAACGTACTCTAGATCTTAAACCCCTGACCACGTGACGTGATTGTCATCAATCAATAAATATATGTACATAAATAAATAAAAATTAAATACAAACCAATCGTATCCAGGAATAGGGCAACGAATTCACAGTTAGATAAATTTGACGATTGAATTGAATATCGTACGGCCCAGCTGCCATTCAAGTTATCAGAGAATATTGACGAATACCCAAAATACTTTTCAAACGAAATACATGTAGTTTCCCTAACGATTATCCTGGTAAATAATCAGCATTCATACATATCACAAATTTAGCAATAGGCACAAAACGTTAATTTAAATAATTAAATATATCACAAATTGAGAAATAGACAAACAGTTTTTTTTAGAGAACATATAAAAACGGCATGCATTATTCATTTGAAACTTTAAATGTCGTTCATAAATAAATAATAATTTACAAATTTACATTTAAGTGGTCATGGATAATCTTCTATATTTCTGTCACTGAATAACAGTCAGTGGCGTATGGATACAACGACGACATTATTTCTGGCATTCGTGACCAACTCGTGTTATTCCGGGACAAGCCGAATAGAGACTCGTGCCCCTATCGTGGCCGTTTTTGCGACCGGGTTCCGTCTTTGCGCAAACGGGCATACCTAAAACAATTGTCAACACGTTGCGTAATGGGTCACATTTATTTTCCCATGTATTATATATATTTCAGATGCAATTTAAAGCACATCGGGACATGCGGAATTATACAGTATGATCGAACACATTTAACTGTGTCTTGGGTATATATTTAGATGCAAGACATATGTAAAATCAAAAAATATTTCTGAGGGATTCTTTGACGAAGAACTTGAAATCATACGCGTATTCTGATTGGTTTGTTGTATTTTCGCACATAACATTCATCGATAGGGGGACGAGGTTACGGAAAGGGACGAGTGGGGACGAATGTATTTCTTGATAAGGTGAGGTGAAATGGGGTTTAACGTCGCGTCCAAGATTATTGCACGTATACAGCGACGTGCATGTACGTGTGTGTGTTTGTGTGGCTGTTCGTACTAGTCCGGACTGATGCCGATTTATAGTGCTAGCTCACTGAGATACCATGCCGCAGTTTAACATGAATACCCCACTCAGACACGGTATACGGACTCCGAGCCGACCACTCCTTGTTTTAGCCCCTTAATGCCGAGCGTCAGACAGGGTAACAACAAGTACCATCTTTTAACGTCTTTTGGTATGACGCGGCCGGGGATCGAACCCCGGACTTTCCGCTCTACGGGCGGACGCTCTACCATTAGACCACGGAGGCGGTCTATTTCTGGATAAAAACAACATGAAAAATGACAGTGTGACAAAGTAAACTACCGGACAAAAGATAGAAAACATCCATGTTAACTGAGTGTAAAGTAAACAAAGAAGAAATGGTTATTCGACGGTGATTTGTTTGATAGTGGGACCAATGCTGTGTTTTGTACCTTAAGTTTGCAGTGTTAAGTGAGTGAGTGAGTTTGGTTTTACGCCGCTTTTAGCAATATTCCAGCAATATCACGGCGGGGGTCACCAGAAATGGGCTTCACATATTGTACCCATGTCGGGAATCGAACCCGGGTCTTCTGCGTGACGAGCGAACGCTTTAACCACTAGGCTACCCGACCGCCCTTGCAGTGTTAAGGCGATTGTTTCAGCCAAGTAACGGTTTGATGACTTTTGTATTATTGTTTTTATCGAATCCAGTGTTCAAGTGTATACTGCCCGGCGGATAATTAACAATAGAAATGCACGTATTGTGATTTTTATGATTTTTTGTTTGTTTGTTTGTTTGTTTGTTTGTTTTTTAACGCAGCACTCAGCAATATTCCAGCTATATGACGGCGGTCTGTAAATAATCAAGTCTGAACCAGGTAATCTAGTGATTGACATCAAGGCAATGCAATCGGGATACGGTACGCCTCTAACGACAAGCATAGTTGTCTGTTACAGTAAGTATGGGTTGCTGAAGACCTATTCTAACCTGGATCTTCACGGGTCAATTATTATCTAACCTGCTGCTCTGTATAAAGGGCGGTAACTGCTGTGGTGCATTTGGGTGATGGTGAACGTGTATGAATGTAAACATCTCGCGAGATTCTCGTCTCTATCGCTGGCCACAACCACGTTAAGAGTGTCTCGTAATGACACAGTTGACATGTGTTTGATCCGAATCAGGAAAGCGTCCTTCTACATACTTGTAAATAATTGTAGAAAATATTCTTTTGTAGACACAACGCATATATTAACTTATTCAAGTCATGATTAATTATTGGAATTTTCAAAAATAGACCTTTCAATAATAAATAATCGATCGTATATCCTATCGTGGGAATGAAAAGTTTTCACTGTTTTGGTTTGTTATGCATTTATTCATATATATAGGCACGGTTAATCAAAATACAATTTATAACAAAAATGTGTTTCAAGTAATGATAATAAACAATATATTGTTTGTAAATAAACACTGAATATTCTGCATACGTTAATCAGTCACAATTCATACCTTCCTGAAGCTATATTTCACTCATAAATAGCGTGTTAAATATACTTTTTTTAAATACAGGACATTAAGTCAGTGAGATAAGGTTGATAGTCACACCGGTTTTATTTCATTGTGACTAATTACATTTAAAGATAATTTAATGATATAAATACATATGATACTGGCATAACAGATGTAAAAATACATACGTGAGTTACATTCATCTATGTGTAACAATAAATTACGAAATATTGCATCACAACATCGCTAATAAATAACTATAATAAAAACATATCATACAAATAAGATACTTGGGCAAATTCAGTCATGTTGACCGAGACAAAGATATGCTTCTGAAAAACTGATAATAAAACAATCAGCGCACGTGGGAATGACTAGATATTGATGTAAAAACAGTCAATAAATATAAACATATCTTTTGAAATAAAATAGAATTTGGCTGGAAATATAAAATACTTGAATTTGTGACCCTATTTGGACGGACGGAACTCCTAAACGTGTTGAAAGATCAGGAGAAGGAATGATGGCGTTTGGAATCTCGTCGCTTGTCACATGACTCAATAATGAAACCGAGGCTCTGAACTGTCATGTGACAAAGACAAGGAGGGCTCAGATCATAGATAGAAAACTGAACTATTGGTAGCCAGCTCGCATCAGAGCATGGCTCTCTTTCAGTGCTGATAATAAGTGAACCACATCCTTCGCGATGATGAAGTCCCGACTGTTGATGACAGCTAAACTGGTAATCTCGCTGAGCTGCTCGGGAATCTCGTCTCTAGTCACGTGACTCTCCACACTCAGATTGAGGCTTTGTAGGGTCGTCATCATGTGGCAAAGCAACTCGTATAACTTTTCTTCGAGATTGTTTACATGTTGAAGAACGCCGTCGGTACTGGTGCTACTCTCCTTGGTGAGTTCTAAGAAGGCGACAAGGAATGAGACATGGCGGTAGTGTCTCCTCAAGACGTCTCCGGTCTGTAAGACACAACAAACATACTGTAAAGGTGATAACCATCAAACTACTATCTTGTAACTACAAAGATAACTATTATTTGACACATTATAAAAAGTTAATAAATAACACACGTTTGGTTATAGATTCGTTTTTAACCTTTCGCTGTACATGTGTATATGAATAATACTCATAAATATACTCTCTAAGAAACAGGCATATTACATAATTAATATTATAACAACGAAGAAAAAAACACAACAAAAGATGATCGACTGAAAACTTTCAAAATTTAAAACATTTTTA